TAGAGAATCCAATAAATTTGAGAAAATAAATCCCTATTATATCTATTCATCTAAATGAAATGATAGTAAGCAGATATGGAAAATGCAAATGTGATGAGATTTGAGAATGAATGATGCATTCGGGTAATTGAAATGGAACATAGAAATTGATGGGTGTCTGTAGAGGTTCTTTTCCTATTCTTTCTTTTCGAGGAAGATGATCATCTTTTTCCTCCTCATTTCGTTGTTCTTTTGAAGTCATATTTTACGTTTTGGAATAAGGTGAAAAAAAAACCTTCCTCCAACAAAGATAGGCTTGTGACTATGTCCATATAATTTAAGAAAACACTATCATTGTTGTTGAAAAAATAGAAAGTAAAGTTGTAGCTTGTAAATTAATTATTATTATATTTCATGATTTTATTTCGTTGGCGGTCATATAAATTAAATAATGAATATAATTGAATTTTAACGTTATAAATACTCTATTGAAACTGCCATGCCTATCTTTCACTACAACAACAACAACAACAACAACGACATAGCCTTTTAATCCCAAGCAAGTTGGGGTAGGCTAGAGATGAAACCCAAGAGAAACCAATGGTAAGAGAAACACAAAAAGGGCTCAAAACAAAAGGAAGAGATTGGAGCAAATGTGGTCTATTTTATGGAACTTGTGGAGTAATTGAGTAAATTAAGCCGCAACTCCACTGGGCAGTCTGGAAAATACCAAAAGCATGACATAAAAGGATTTTGTAGTGTGGCATGCCATCCATGGCGCTTTCATCATAAGGCAGGCACATGTTAGATTGGGCATTGGGATGCCACAAGTGTATTATACTACGTATTTATTAACATTGTGAATTTATGCTTTAATTGAATCGAACGGTGCAATTGTACTTCCTGCCCACATTGATTGTAACAAAAATATGGGAATTGTAGCATACACTTATTGGGCCATTATAGATGCTCCTAACCATGAATGCGGTGTTCTTGGAGTACAAAAAATGTGGACCATTTAATAAACTGAGGGGTGTGGAATTACATAAATCTCATCGGCATGCAATGAAGAAGTTCTATCTGCTGAATGGTAATTGTAGTTATAGTTCATTGCTGAAGGAACTGAAATCAGTTTATATATTGAATGACTTTTTTTCTTTGCTTGATGCTCATTTTTGATTTGTTAAATTTCCCAAAAATTAACTAAGCCGAGAGATTTTTCTTGAATTATAATATAATGACTTGTTAAGGTTTGCGTAACAGTGCTCTAATTTGCAAATTGATTGTTGCAGTGGGGCTGGTTTACATGTCGGGCATCCTCTTGGTTACACGGCCACAGATATCCTTGCTCGACTTAAACGGATGCAAGGTTTCAATGTTTTGCATCCAATGGGTTGGGATGCGTTTGGTTTACCTGCAGAACAATATGCAATTGAGGTACTTTTGTGCTTGTGATTTATTATCTTGTTTGGCATTATTTATTTATCTTTGCTTAACAATATCACTTATTGACAGACTGGTACTCATCCAAAGATCACAACCATGAAAAACATAGACAGATTTCGTGCACAGGTATATTTTTTTCTTCTACTTCTGATTACTGATCATAATTTGTTTGGAAAACTTTAAAGGCCGAAACTTGTTTCAAGATTGTGCAATCTTTATGCACAATAAAAGCTTGCACAGCCTATTGGCTATCTTATAACCCTTCTCAATGTATGTATTTCATATACTTTGAAATTTCTTTCGGCTCAAATCTTACATTTGGAGTCAATTCCAAACCAAAGATCTTGGCTGTCTTGAATACTGTTTAGGTGTTGAGGTTTCCCAATCAGCCTTTTGCGTTGTCATTTCCCAGAAAAAAAAAAATACTTTAGGTATTCGTAACGAAGCAAGTATGCTCGACTGTCGTCCCACTAAAACTCCCATGTATCCAAATATCAAGCTTTTTCAGGGTCAGGTGAGCCGGTGAAAGACCCAGGAAAATAACACCATCTTGTTGGTAAACTTAATTATCTCACTGTTACGAGGTTAGATATCAGATTTGCCTAACTGTGGCTAGTGAGTCTCTAAATGCTATTTGTGATAGACATTAGGATGATGTTATGCCAGTCCTCAGATATATCATATATCTAGAATGCACCAGGTCAGGGAATAGTATACGAAGATAGAGATAATGCCAAAAATATTTTGCTATTCTGAAGCTGATTGAGCAGGATTACCATCGGATAGAAGGCCGACTTCAGGCTATTGTGTTCTAATTGGGGTGTGGGGGGGACAATCTCATGGAGAACTAATAAGCAAAATATAGTTGCTAGATCTGGTGCAAAGTTGAATACATGTAGCCGTTGCGTGTGAAATCACATGGCTCCCGCGACTCATTCAACAATTAAGTTTTGGGGATATTCTGGGTACTAAAATTTGCGATAATCAAAATGCATCTAGTCCTGTCTTCCATGAACGGACTAAACACATAGAGATAGATTGTCGCCTTGTGAGGGGGAAAGTGTTTTCGGGAGAAATCACCGCCGACTTTGTAAACTCTAATGATCAGTTGCATGACGTGTTTATAAAATTTATGAAGCGAGTCCGTGTTGATTGCATTTGTACTAAGCTAGTGAAATGTATGCTTGAGCTTGAGGGGGAGTGTTGAAATATATAATTTGATAACAATGGAGATACTTAGGGCTACGATTTGATTTTACTGAAAATCTATTCAATGTAAATTAGGAAGATATATGTAAGAAGACATATAAGTAGCTAGATTCAGTGACTTTATTTTATTTTCCTTCATTGTAGATTTTCTCCTGCATTATAAATACATGAGGTCAGTGTATAAGAAATTGCACAACATATTTTCAAAGAATTGTTTCTATTTGAAGGTTATTTTTGATCTAGTGTCCTTTGTTACACATAAGCAACAGTTCGTATAAATTCTCCTGACTGCACATTCAGCATAAGTGTTGTTTTTAGCTATTTATTTTTTAGGCTTTAAATTCATAATATAATCGTTTCATTAATTGGTTTACATTCTTTGCATACTAACATATGTAATTACTTATTTTCAGCTTAAATTGTTAGGATTTTCATATGACTGGGATCGGGAAATTTCTACCACTGAGCCTGAATATTATAAATGGACGCAGTGGATATTTCTGAAACTTTTTAAGAGAGGACTGGCATATCAGGTTTTTTTTTTTCTTCAATAATAATTTTGATCATGATTTCAGGATATAAAAAGTCCCTATATGAATTGAAACAACAGGCTGAAGTTCCTGTCAACTGGTGTCCTGCACTCGGGACTGTCTTGGCAAATGAAGAAGTAGTAGATGGTGTGAGTGAGCGTGGGGGCCATCCAGTAATTAGGAAGGTCTGCTTGTTATAATTATTATTATTATTATTTTTTTTTTCTGTATTTTTCTACGCTATGTACAACCTTTTGCTACCTACCCTTCCTTATTTTCATTGGTTGGATGGTTTTATGATTTTTCAGTTCATTGTTTGTTGACGAGCAGCCTATGCGGCAATGGATGCTGAAGATTACGGCATATGCTGAACGTCTTCTTGAAGATTTGGATGATCTGGACTGGCCTGAAAGTGTTAAGGAAATGCAAAGGAACTGGATAGGAAAATCAGCAGGAGCTGAGCTGCAATTCAGCATTTTGGATATCAATGGTCTCGAGAGGGACATTAAAATTACTGTCTACACAACACGGCCCGATACCATTTTTGGTGCAACGTATTATTTTGTTTATGTTTTAATGTCTTCTATTGTCTTTATTTTGCAGCAAAACTTGTTTTTAATTACATGTGTCCTGCTTTTTAGTTACTTAGTCCTGGCACCTGAACACGTCCTATTGGCAACCATTGTGTCTGATGGCCAAAGAAAAGATGTATGCCTATCTCTATTGTTCTTTCCTTCCCTTTCTTATTTTTATTTTTTGTTACATTTGATGCCAGTTGGTTTCACCAACAAATAGTATTGGTTACAGGTAGAAGAATACAAAGAAATTGCCTCTAGAAAAAGTGAATTCGAGAGGACTGAGCTCCAGAAAGAGAAGACTGGTCTTTTTAGTGGCTGTTATGCAAGAAATCCAGCCAATGGGAAAGCTATTCCAATTTGGATAGGTGACTATGTTTTGGGAAGGTGAGCTGATTATTTCTAGCTCGTTTGGAAACACTTCTGAATTAACATTTGGATGCAAAAGCCCATTTGAATAATTAATTCATGTTTTGGGCTAAATTAAGAATAGACTTATGGTAAATTGGTTCTCCAAAATTTCCACTATAGAAAGTAAATTATGTGGACTTTTGGTGAAGTCTCTTAAATGGACTTTTACAAAGGTGATCCCAAATTGGTACTTCATACTTCACTATTCTTTCGTTATCCATGTGTTCATACGAGTTTCATTGATGACATGATTTTATTTAAATTGATATGATAGTTATGGGACAGGAGCAATAATGGCTGTACCTGCACACGACACTCGTGACCATGAGTTTGCTTTGAAGTACAATATCCTAGTATGTGGAGTTGTGGCTCCAGAAAATGGAAATTTGATTTACTCGGAGACTGCTTACACTGGTGAAGGTACTATGATCAATTCATCTAGTCCAGAAACAGGGCTCAGCATAAATGGCCTACCGACCAAAGATGCTGGCTCTAAAGTCATTGATTGGCTTGAGAAAACTGGAAATGGAATGAGAAAGGTACACTTGTCCTGCATTTATTGGAAACTTTACTTGACTCATTCTGGCATTTTCTTTTTCCATATTGGATGAGTATTCGAATTATTGCAGTTTTATATACTTGTAGGTGAACTATAAATTAAGGGACTGGCTATTTGCTCGGCAGCGTTATTGGGGAGAGCCTATCCCTGTAATTTTTATCAATGACACAGGTGAATGCTTACCAGTTTCTGAAGATGAGCTGCCTCTTACCCTTCCTGCGTTGGATGATTTTACTCCGACTGGGACAGGGGAGCCACCGCTTGCTAAGGCTTCGTCTTGGGTATGTTTATATACTTAATGTGTTTCTTGTGAGTCGAGCTACAAGAAGTCATCTTGTGTTGCTAATATGATTTCATGCTAATGGTTAGATTTTTATAGTGTAGGTTGGAGTATTGAATATAAAATAAAATCAAAATATGAAGTTCCATATATATTTAAAACAAGCGGACTACTTTAGGATGATTCTGTCTTTAAATGTATGTTGGACTGAAGTGATTACATCCAACCTTAGCATTTCTTTGTAATTCTCGTACGAACATCAAGTTTTCCTATTGACATGTTTTTCCCACTTGTTTTAAGTTATCTTCAATTTCATCACCTTTAACTTATGTACGAAGCATCAGATAACATAAACTTCAATCTGCATAATGTATCTTAATGTCTTTGCGCTGCTATAATTTTTTGTTCCAAATGAATTATATAGATGGATAAACTTTTTCAGGTCAAAACTGTCGACTCGACATCTGGTAGATCTGCTCTTCGTGAGACAAACACTATGCCTCAATGGGCTGGCTCTTGCTGGTATAGCCTTTTTTGGGTCTCCAAGTAGTATAAATAGTGTGGCAAGGAAAACACTATGCCTCATGACTTAATTTTTCTATTTAGGTTTGACAGGAAAACACCTCAGTGTGCAATGCTGTACATGTTTGTTACACATAATATATTCGAAATCCATCTAACCATGACTCACAAAATGACATTTGAATGTTTGACGTGCATCGACTTGATATTTGAAAGATTTAGATTTTGCACACGTCAGGTACTATCTTAGGTTCATGGATCCTAGAAATCCCAAGACATTGGTCGACAGTGAAAAGGAAATGTGAGCTTAACCTCTGCTTTGCTGGATTTTAGTATAATTTTGTCAAAATTATTGTTTGTGTTGGGATGATACTTGCCACTCATGTCATTTGTTGGTCCATCTTTCAGGTATTGGGGCCCTGTTGATGTGTATGTTGGTGGTGCTGAACATGCAGTTCTTCACTTGCTTTATGCTAGATTCTGGCACAAGGTTTGTAACCCCCACATGTTTTAGGTGCTGGGGATACTGTTCAGAATTAATCTTACTAATTGGCGTGTGGATATAAGTTATTCCCATTCAGGGATTTTTTTCTAGATGCAAGTGATCTTGGAACATCTTTTGGCAAACGAGATGCTTAGGGCGTGTTTGTATACAAATATATCCGCTCAAAATGAGTTATTTTAGTTAATCAGAGTTAATTTTGAAAAAAGTGGCATGGTTAGTTGTTAGTGTGATTTTGATTTTATACTAAAATAATATTTAAAATAAGATAATTAAATTTGAGTTGGATTTTGAGTATGAATTGAGTATGGTTTGAGGTTTTTGATATACAAACACACCCTTAGATTATTCTTGATAAAGAAAAGCAAGAGCTTGTACTGGGTGTTGATAAGTATGAAAGCTGATCTACTCTAGTAGAGTTATTGTAGATGTAATTGATAAAATTTTGAAACCTTGATGATTTAATTACTTCTTCATTCGTTCTACTTTCTCACTTGTATTTTCAGCTAACTATATGTTTTTTTCAGGTTCTTTACGATGTTGGTATAGTCTCTACAAAGGAACCTTTTCAATGTGTCATAAACCAGGGAATTATTCTTGGAGAAGTGAGTATTAAGTATCATGATACTCATCGTGGAAAATTCAATTCCTCTGCAAATATTTAATTGCTTCGAGTGACAGGTACAATACACGGCCTTCAGAAACTCAGAGGGGCATTTAGTGTCTGCTGATACTGAGGAAATAAGTAACTTAAGACAAGAAAGCATACCCGAGGAGAAGGCACACCTCTCTCCATAACTGCTATCTTTTCCTATTAATTTTTAAAATAAATAAAATAAATAAATTATTCTCCCTCATATAATGTAATGTTTTTAAATAGGTTACAAAATCTGGTGATTATTTTGTGCTGAAAGACAATCCCAGTATACGCCTGATTGCCCGTGCTCATAAGATGAGCAAAAGTAGGAGAAACGTCGTTAATCCGGACGACGTTGTTTCACAATATGGTGCAGATTCTCTTCGTCTATATGAAATGTTTATGGGCCCATTCAGGTAGCCATCCCCCATTCCCTATGATATATATTTTTTTTTTTTCTTGATGAGCATATTGTTTTTCATTCTTCAAGAGATTTTTCAATGTAAATTTGTTTTACTAAGCTTAAATCTGTCTTATCATTTTCTTAGACAATTCTTTTCTCCTCTGCATACTTATAGGGACACAAAAACATGGAGTACCAGTGGTATTGATGGTGTTCATCGCTTTCTAGCTAGAGTGTGGAGGTTAATAGTTGGTTCACCATCCAATGGTGGTAACTTCAGAGGTGGAACAGTTGATCTCGATTCAGAACCTTCTATGGAGCAGCTCCGGGTTCTTCATAGATGCATTAATAAGGTAACTACTTAACTTGCAGTAGAACATGAGGCTTCTTTTTCCCGGTTCATACATACGTATATAACTAAGTAGCAAATGTGCTTGGCCATGGATACTCTTTTGTCTATTCAGGTTACAGAGGAAATTGAAGGGACGAGATTCAACACGGGGATTTCTGCAATGATGGAATTCATTAATGCAGCATATAAGGTTAATTTCTCCAGTAACTCTTTCTCAGGATTCATCTTAATTAAGAACATCTCCAATGCTCGAATGATGTGATTGGATAATTGTACCAAATGTACCTAATTAAATGGAATGTGGACTGCATATATGTGAAGTTTACAACTACGAAAACCAAAAATTCTTTCCAATGCACAATGTAGAGAAATTACAATGTTATCCACTTGACCAAAATTAAATATTTATAAATAAGAAAGAAAATCAATTTAAGAAATGAAAAGCTCGGAATTAGTGATGGGCTATTTCTCTCTACTCTATATTGGTTGGTTAGAATGTGGATGAACAACTTCATTCTGTGCATTGTGGGAATTAACTATGTACACATCATCACTACATTGGAGGTGAAAAAGTAGCAGTAAAATTAAATTTTGATGATGTGGCTCTTAATTTTTCACAATGACATGTTAGCATTAAAAATGCTTTAAAAGATGTGACCAATTAGTTCTCATTTTAAGTAATTTGTGCTTAATAACTCATACTTTATAGTTGTCATCCACTCCTACTTTTATTTCGGTCTAGATTCTGAGTACATTTTTAAGTTTGTCGTTTTAGTGGGACAAACTTTCTAGGACGATCATTGAAGATTTTGTTTTGTTGCTCTCACCCTATGCACCGCATATGGCCGAGGAGTTGTGGTCCCGTCTTGGACATTCCAGTTCACTGGCTTACGAGCCATTTCCCAAGGTACCTCTCTTTTTTGGTTTTTTTTATTAGCAAAAAAATCTTTTCCATGATTATATATATGGAGAGAGAGAGAGAGAGAGAGAGAGAGAGAGAGAGAGATTGAACAGGATTAACATATAGATTTTACTTTTGGTGCAATTTTATATTTTTACATTTCTCCTCACATATATTCCACAAAACCATTTTGGTGTGAGCGACCAATGATGTATTGACACATGTGCTTAGATGTAATCATCAAGGACCACATGTCCAAAATGTAACGTAATAAGTAATAACCACATGACACGTGTCAATTTACTATTCGTGACTCGCACCATCTATATATATATAATTGCTGGCATGTAGCATTTAATAAAACATTTAATAAAACCTCTAAAATTTTCCCTCCATTTTTGGTTACAAAATTTGTCATTAATATTTTTTTACTTCTTACATTAATACATCTTAATGAGTGTAATCATGTATGTTTCTATTATATCACATAATATAGTTATTGCTAATACCAACTAATAATAATTCACAATAAAAATAAATTACATAATTATAAACAATTGTCAAGTTATGTATTTTAACATCAATATTATCTTTTTCTTTTGTATCTCATAAAAATATTTCTTTCAAAACAATTAA